TGCGACCAAATATTTATTTTTAGTCGCACCACTGAAAAATTTGGTCGCATTTGCGACCAAATTGGTCGCACTCTAGAGCCCTGAATTGGGTAAAGAATATAAAATTGAAGTAATGGGAGCACGCTTGCTAGAACGAGATAGTAGTCTGACTAATGCATTTTGTATAGATTGGAGGTGAGAAAGGGATGATTTGTCCAAGCTGGTAAACAGGACATTACAAGAATCTAAACGCGATGACACAAATGCATGAACAATTTTTCCTTAAATGAAAGAAACAGGAATGAGACAAAGATTTTACTGCGAGTCAAGGTCCAGAGAAGAATCAAATATTACTGCAAGATATCAAATATTTGACTTAGCAGAAGGACAGTAAGAAGCAAGAACCTGACTGATTTTGGTACTTCCTTCTGTAAGCAATAATGTATAACATTATTGCTTACAGAACGAAAACAACAACAACAACACAGAAATAACTCATTAATTTCAATGAAAAAACCTTATAAATAATTTGACAGTATGAGACCCAGTATTGAGGGACTACAGCAGCTCAATATAATTTTTATCTGAAAAAAGGTACTTCTTAAGTTTAGATTTGTATATGAAGAAACACTACAATTGTAATTTATTAGTGTTATTTGGTATACATAGAGTGATAAAAGTCCCTTTCACTCACCACTGATGCAACATCGTCTCCAGAGCCCATAACAGACCTGATCAATAACACCACAGCCATGCCAGCTGTGCTCTGGACAGACTGGATGAACTCCTCTAAAGACAGGAAGAAGAACAGAGTAGAGACAAATCAATGAAAAAAAAAAATGTATTCCATGTTTAGAAATCAATTAAGCTTTACCTGCATAGCTACAGTGTGTGTGTGTGTGTCCATAAACTACAGCAGTGATGATGCCTTCACTGGTGTTGTGATAACTTTGTTCAGTAGAACAGAGGCTGCTTGAGCTAAATGTTAGAATCCTACGATGGTTTTTTTGCACACGTGGCCCTGAATACACACAAACATCAACAGTGTCACTTTCTCTCATTGTTCTGAATTGCACTACGAACACCCTCTCTATGTTAGTCTTTGCTGTGACTGAAATCAAGAAAGAAAACGCACTATTAAAGGTTCGCTTCAGCCTGTTTGCATCACAACTGAACTTGTTTCACGGATTGTTGGAAACAGTATTTGATTAGTTCATCAACCTGCCCAAAGTACTTTTCTGAGCCTGGATCCTGAGTTATACCAAATCCTGATAATATCACAGGGAACAGTTGCCACATTCAGGGTGGGAGAGGGGACAGGGTCACATGGACACCATAGCGTGTGTGGTCAAAGCTAGAAGGTAGAACTGGGATCTGTATCCTCCCTCCCACTGAAATCTACACCTGTGACACAAAATGAATACCTAAAATCTAAGTGAAAAGGTCTTGGATTCAGTGACTGATGAGGACAGCTGCCTGTTTTCCAGTGAGATGACGGTGGATCTGCATGTTTGCTTCCAGCTGTTTGTTCTCTGCTCGTCTTGTTAATTCCTAACTTTCTTACCATCAGTGAGGATGTGTATGTAGCAGCCCAAGAGGTCACCCAGTGTGTCCTGCAGCCTGCAGCAGTCCTGTTGGGCCTGTAAAACCACGCTGATTGTGTCCTGAGACCTCTGGACGACCAGCATGGAGGTCTTCACTGCAGCTAGACAGGACTGCATCAGCTGAGCCTGGGCAATGTGGCGTCCTACAAGACCACTGGGAAAACAGCAGAGGGCGACAGAGGCACACAATTTGATACAAATACAAGGCTGGTAAGCTTTCCTCATGTATCAATGTTTACACAGAGGATATAAACCTACAAAATATTGAAATCAATGAGCACCAGCTAGAGTCCAATCAATGAAAGAGACTGGAAGTGTGATTTGAGGGATAAGAGCATGCCTCCATACCTGTTTTGATGAAGGTATTCACTCAGCGTCTTGTGAAGGAACTGCAAAACTACACAAGAGAAGAGGACTCAACGGGATGAGATCGAGACATTAGCTTTCCTCAAAAATACATGAAGTTAAAGCAGGTTAAAATAAGGTGGATACTAACCTTCCGGTAATAGTTTGTTAATGCAGCTCTCACCTGTAGATGTACAATTTTGCCGTGATTGGTACTTATTTATAGCACATGAACTGTTGTTTGATATTAGCAGTGATCACACAAAGAGCAAAAGTAACCACTAACCGAGAGGGAAGCCATCCAGACAGGCAGTGATGGAGTCGACGATGTGGGGATACCGGTCTGAATACGTGCTGGAAAGACAATCAGACAAGCAACCAGCCAAGCAGCTCACAGTCTGCTCCTGAAGCCAAGCTGGTACTGAACCCAAGGCACTGAGAAGTGCAACACAGACAAGTTATTTATCTGAGGGCCTCAGAATTGACGAAGAACAAACAGACACATAAGAGAAAAGATAAATCAGCTACTATGGCCTCTTTACATCTTCTCCCTTAAAACCACAAATAAACAGCTGCTCAGGCTCAGCTTGTCCACAAATGAATATAGAAGAAAATGAAGCATATGTCTACCTTGCAATGGCTCTTCGGAGGGGGTTCTTGGACTGCAGGGAGGTGTAGACCACAGCTAGCGTGTGTAGACAAGCATCTAAAAGAACTCCGCCCATTTGCTCATCACTCAGTGCCTCCAGCTGGGACCCTGCCTGATGAAGTATGGAAAACAAACAAACATTAAAACCTGGAGCAGTGAAAACATTTATGATCTCATTTACAGTGGTACCTATCAAAGGGTGGGATGAATCGGGCAGCAAATGAACACAGTGTTGTTTGAGCTGAGGTCTTGGAAGCAGGAAACATGGGACGTGTAAGTATCGGAGAGACCGACATACGCTGATCTCACACGTCTGTTCCACTTTACCACTTACTAGACCTAAACGATCTGCAGCTAACATCTTGCTTGGATATCTTAGTCTTAGTTGCATTGAATGCTCAAGCAGAGTAGAAAAGCGCTATATAAGAACCAGACCATTTATCACACTATTCATACCGTGCTATACCAGACAGACCTTTTTAACCAGCTGGATCTGCTGCACCGGCTCTGTCAGCTCCAAACAGGACTGCAGGGTTTGGGCAACCTGCCTGACTCCATCTTCTCCTCCATCAACCGAGAGGGATGCTGGGAAAAGGTCAAAATAAATATTATAAGACATGCGTAACATCAAATGAAGGGTACACACAGTGACTGCTCTACCTGCAATGTATGATGAGACTTATTTACTGTTATAATAACTTTTTAGGCACAGTTATTTGTACTTTTACTCCCTTACCTAACAGCTTGTGCAGTTTCTCCTCATCCAGCGCCACAGCCTCCACTTTGGAACTCTTCTTTTTCACTACCATGGCTCTGCCTCTGTGTGAGGAGCAAACATAATTTAGAAACAACCAAACAAAATAGGAGCTTATTTACTGCTTGAAATTCTTGCTGCTAGATGTTAGCCAACTATTGCTAGCTGCTCGAGACTGACTACACGTGCAAAATGAAAGGCAAGACCGATACAACAAACCCTCAAACAACAAAACAACAAACCGCGGCTTTACTAGAGCAGCTCTACACACCCGCAAAATTAAATGTAAAAAGCATTTAACTCTGTTCAGCATGTGCTTTACTCACTTGAGCCCTTCAGCTTCAGCTGGTAGCTGTGAATAGTGTCAAGTAGCACTAAAACCTCTTACTTCCGAAACGTTTTTTCAGAATAAAACACCCATTAAATATCGTGCCCAATAAAACAAACAAAATAAAGCTTATATGTGACTTTTAGCAATATTTTTGTTTTTATTTAAATGTAAAAATCAAAATTTTGACTTTCAGACTCTGAATGTGTACTTTTATGTCAGCAAACTTTTACTTTGACACCAAACCTTTTGAGCTTTCTATGGTGTTGTCGCATGCCTGACGCTCATGGGGCCATGCCGCACATAGTAGACGTCACTTCCGACAAAATGTCTGAGCCCGCCCTCAGAAACCGAGCTACCCGAGAAGTGGCGCTCGGGATTTTTATTGGTGGATGACACACGTCAATCAAAGGCAGACGTGCCTTTCCGGCGCGGCTGAGCAACTCCTACCTAGTTTTTGATTGGACGTTTTTGATGAAGCCACACCTTTAAAAAAAACGCCAGCCCTTCGCCAACTTTGCCCGAGAAGCGCAATGAAAACCTCTGGGAAAGACAGAAATTCATCGTTTTAAGCCATGAATTAGGATTTTCTTCAGAGGAATAACAGCAGATAAAGAAGCGCTGGACTCGACATGATGTGAAGCTCCTCGTAAAGTGTCTTTACATTAATATTATTAAGGGTAAGTCGATGAAAATGGATGGTTTTAATTATTAGGAAATGAATTATCTATTTTAATAACGGTTTAGCAGCAATGTGCATTAACAGTCATGTCAAATTGATAATAACTTAAATAGACTAATGAATTTTGTTTATCAGCACTAATAAAATCATTTTTTGTAGGGAAATGAAGAAATGCTATTTATGTATTTAATTAATAGCTGTTTAAAAAAAATGTTATAAGTTTAACTTTTAATATTTGAAAGTCACCCCGCATACTCACAAACCAAATGTTTAAAATATCCCTTAGAAAGTGTTCTACCACAGACATTGTTGCACCTCATCACCTCGCCTCGGTTTTCTTGACTGCTACAAACTGTTTTGAGTCTCTTCAGAAATACTTGGGAAAGTAGATGGACTGTTAGTCGGGGAAACTGGGCAAGTCACAGCCGTCTTTACTCAGTCACAGGATGAGCTTTCTGACAAATCAAACAGCTACTCTGTGAGAAAACATGCTGTTGGCTTTAGGTTTTGGGGTTCATGTGCTCAAAGTAACAGTATGTTTTTATTTCTCATCTCGAAAAGTTTTTTAAAAACCTTGTGCAACAACTACCATATGTATAATTGTTTATTGTTTAATAATAGTAATAATTGTTTATTGTTTAATAATAGTAATAATTGTTTATTGTTTAATAATAGTAATAATTGTTTATTGTTTAATAATAGTAATAATTGTTTGGTAAAATAACACAAACCTGAAACTAAACTCAGAACTGTTGAGGCTCAATTTGGGGCTCAAGTTGGTTTGATGAGAGTATACAGGATGAACCCTTTTTTTAAAAAGTATTATATTGTTATAATTTACAAAATCTTTTTTTTTATTATATTTTCAAACGAAGGAAGAAAATAAGAAAGAAATTCCTAGTCCAAGACAGAAATTAGGAATGTTTGAAAGAAGAAGGTTAGAGCTCAGACAGCTGTAGTGAAATGTGTGAGGTGCAACAAACTAGCACATGATGCTGACGTCTAAGGGATGGCATAAGGGGATCAGTTTGGTTAGTCAGATACAGGTGGTGTTAATGAGTAAACATGGTCATTTATTTGACTTTGGTTTTTAATAAGAGGAAAAATACCTCAATATTCAAATAGGTTAGTGTTCGTGATAATATTGGACGTATTTGAGCTCTATTTGAATAATGTAACTGTCTGCAGCTCTGCTTTAAATTAGCATGACATATATTCCCTGGTGACTTTGTTAGGTACACCTGTTTGATATCTAATCAGCTAATCAAATGGCAGTAAATCGGTATATTTAGGCATGTAGACATGGTCAAGATAGCCTGCTGAAGTTCAATGGTGATTCAAATGAGGCATGAGCTCATGTCAAAGGTCAGAGGAAAAGACCAGACTGCTCTGAGCTGATATTAGGACAACAGTAACTCTAATAACCGCTCGTTACAACCAGGGTGTGCAGAAGAGCATCTCCGAATCCACAACACATCCAGCCTTGAATGTTACAGCAGTGGAAGACTACTAAGGGTGCCACTTGTATCAGATTATCAGACAGGAAACAGAGGCTGTAATGAAACTGGATCACCAGAACTGGAAAATAGAAAGAAAAAAAAAACATTGTCTGGTCTGAATACGTTTGGGGATTTTCTTACCGATTATTGAGCATGCATCAACACATTGTCTGGTCTGATTTGTTTCAATTTCCACTGCAACAGGGTTAGAATTTGTTATAACAAGCATGAAAACTTGGATCCACCCTGCCTTGTAGCAACTGTTTAGGCTGGTGCTGGTGGTGTATTGGTGTGGAGGACATTTTGACCACAGTGTGCATATCTCCTGATGGCTACTTCCAGCAGGATAACGCACCAATGTCACGAATCTCAAATCGTCTCTAACTGAGAAGTGAGGTAGCTCACTGCACTGAAATAGTGTCCACAGTCAAGAGAGCTCCTTTAGGAAGAGGTGGAAAGAACAGGAGGTTGACATCATAGATGTGCAACCAACAAATTTGCAGCAGCTGTGTAATGCTTGGGCTCGATTCAAACACTTTGTAGAATCTATGCAATAAGGCGGTTGTGATGGGAACAGGTGGTCCAAGTAGATGTAAGTGACGTATCAGTGTATATACCTCTGAAACGTGTTACGCTCAGCTGCAAAGTTTTTTAAACAGTCAAAAGATTTTATTCCATCAGAGTCAATTTGATGTCCTGTAAACCTTTATTTATAAAAACAGAATAACTTCATCAGCACACCACATCCAAATGAGTCCCGATTGTGTCTGTGTGTGCTGATTCTGACTTTGACCAACAGGAAGTCTGAGAGAAAGATTGCAAAAGAAAACACTGGGAGCCGGGCTTTAGGGGTCATTTTTTCTTTAAGATCATGTGTGCTCCAATATCGCAAATAATGACTAATATTCTAATAGGATGTTGTTTATTTACCTTCAATATGTAACCAGCTGAAGGGTGGTGTTGTAGCTAAACAGAAACATTTTGAATATTACAACTGCTATAAAAACACCAAGTGTCAAATTCCAGCATATTTAATGAGACAGCAGCGGATAAATGTGTGATACGTGAAATGTAAATTTAGAATACAAAGCATTTCTTAACGTTTATAACTTTGTCATATTAAAGTCCATCCCCTCAGTCCCTCGTGCTGTTTTGTTTTGTGGAGTGAGACTCGTTTTATTCCTTTCCCCTCGTCAGTGTTTACCACAGCAAACAGGCAGCAGAAATAAGCCTGTGGAAACTACTTTATGGCCTTCCTCCACACATGCTTGTAGTCTCTTTGCGAGGAGGCCAGGCTGGTAATGAGAGGTTATTACTAGGAAGAGAGAAACCCAGGCTTTCTATCCAACATCACAGACGCTCTCTCTCTGCTGCCTGTTTTCCTATATTAGTCGTGGAAAATGTGATACAAGTGTCTTTTGGGGAGGGTGTCGAGGTGTTTTGGACTAATAGAGCTGTTTTCCTGTTTGCGAGTGATACGCCCACTGCCCACACTGGTCCAGCTGGGCTACACCCTGGAATATTTCAGGTGCTGCCTGGCTGGTGCCAACACATCTGGTCAACAACAAGCCTCCTGACCATTTTCTTTCATGTCTGTGTTTCTTCATCTGCTATTATGGAGATAATGTAAAAATGTTAAATGTCTGCACAAAAATGTTTTGCTACACATACTGTACTGTATATACACTCGGTGTCTCACTGCTTAGGGTATTTTTCAGAGGGATATGGCGGAGGGGGAGGAGGCGATGAGCCAAGAGGACTGGAAGGAGAAGTGTGTGGTCCTGGAAGCACTGCTCATGAAGTTCAGAGTGCAGATCATCAAGATCCGAGAGCTCACAGCAGACAAGGTTGGCTTGAGTACATTCATCTTTGCGAGATAACCCCGGTCAAAGGAACAGGTGCAAAGCTATTTTGCAAGAAAAGCTATGCTGATGATTGACAGGCAGATACAGTTTGTTGTATCTGAAAGAGCAGAGACGTGACGCCAATACCGAATTACGGCAATGCTGAAAATGCTGTCATATGGAAATGATACGGTAAAATATCCCAGCTGGCCATCATCGGTCCAACAAACAGAGACTGGCTGTCTTTTAGCAGATGTGTGTAAGCGGCACGCGAATGACATTTTCAGAGAAAACTCCCTTAACTGGGATTAATTTGGTTTTAAAGCTGAAGGATGAGCTCGTCAGTGGACGAATACTCCAAATATGATCACAGACTGTATTGTGACAGATTACATTTTTTGTAGTGTTGAATTGTCCAGAAGGCAGACCAATGCAATACCAAAATAAAGAGGACGAAAAGGAAAGAAAAAAGCGACTGTCAGTTGACTCGGCTGCAGCCAATATCCAGTCGCCTAACCTAACTGGAATTTGTTTGAAGATAATGCTGAATTAAAACACACATTACTAATAAAACACTGGATCCAATGATTATCCTTTTCCCATGGGTGGCTTGTGTATCTTGTAGTATTACACTCAACACTTAGCAGACTTTGACCTCTCCTTCAAGACCAATTTGAAGGTCAGAGTGATAAAAACAGCATGTAGAGCTGTTAATTCTATGTGTCTTGCTGCCATTGTTTATTATTAACAACATTTAGAGAAAGATACAGGTATATGGGGATTCTAAATATCACATTATAGTTTGCTTCCAACTCTCCTGTCACATTTGACTCCTGAACTCACTTTTACATCGCTGCCTTTTTTAAGTTTACCCCAAAATGTGTTACATCAAAATGTGTTACATCTTTAAGGAAAGTATTGTCAGGAAAAAGAGAAAGAGCTGCCTCATCTCATCTTGCTTTGACTTCTGTAGTAGCCTTTGCTCTGGTCATCAATTGGCCGACTGCAGCTAGTCCAAAACGCTGCAGCACGGCTCCTAACTGGCACACGCAAGTGAGATCATATATCTTCTATACATGCATCATTACCTGGCAGCCAATCAGCTTTTGAATTGAGTTTAAGATCTTAACACTTGTTTTTAAGACATTGCATGGACCAGCCCCTACATATCTTGCTGATTTCCTAACCTGGTATTCTCCCCCAAGATCCTTGAGGTATGCAGACCAAATGCTTTTGGTTGTCCCTAGGTCCAGACTAAAACACAGAGGAGACCAGACATTTGCCGTGACTGCCCCCAAACTGTGGAATACATTGCCTTTGCATATCAGGTCCTCCCCGACAGTGGATACTTTTAAAATCCGTCTAAAGACCCATTTTTATTCTCTGGCTTTTGATTCATCATTAGTTTGTTACCATTATTCTTTCTATGATTGTATTCTCTTCTAAAACACTATTCTGTTTTTCTTTTATGTCCTCTGCTTTGTCCATTTTGTTGTACAGTACTTTGGTCAACACTTGATGTTTTTAAACAAGTGCTATATAAATAAATTTAAACTTGAACTAGTTAGTTAGAAGTATACTGCAGTAAATTGTCCAGTTCTTTCAGAATCAGAGATTATGCAAACAAACTTATGTTCAAGGGCAACAGACAAAGGAAGTGGTGCTGCTTTGACACACTATAACAAATGATCTCTGGGAAAGGGAAGAAGGTCCTCGCATGCATGGGAAGATGATGCGCATTCTCAAACTGAGTGGTGGTGTGTCTGGTGGGCACAGAACGGGCCGTCCCTCCCAGCTGGCCGACACTGGGCAGGCCCAAACTGCTCAGTGGCCTAGATCTGAAGCGGCTCTCCAGGGATGCTGATTAGAGCTCTAATGTAAACAGCAGTCTGACCACAGGGCTGCGCTACGAAGTGCATGATGGGATTGACCCAGCTCCAGTCAATTACAGACTCAAAGTAAGCTCAGCTGGACAGCAAAACAAACTCCCGGAGAGACTTGGAAGAGAGATTGGCTTCGGTGGGTTTTTGCAGCCCACGTAGCACATGTGAAAGTCTCTGCCGTGTATTTTTGGCTCTATCCATCCTGTTTGACAGGTTTACGGCCTTTTTCCACTCAGCAGTAGAAAACACACTGTTAAACACACCATAACACGCACTGTGTTTTTCTTCTTTGGTGTGTTTACTCAATCCTAGCTCTGCTCTTTGGAGGTTACATGCCGTGTAAAAACAAAATATAAGGTGAAATCAGGGAGATGAATCCGCCTGACAGAAATTTTGAAAAATTGAGGAAATTGTAGTAAAGTTAGAAATCATCCATCACTCAGTTTTATTAACTGCTTATCTAACTGAGGGTCACAGGAGGGCTGGAGCCTACCCACAGACAGGCCGGCGGTTTGTCAAAGGGGGGTCAAAATGCTTTTTTAAGTTACCTCATGGATCAGTTTAATCAATCGGAAGCTTCCACTGACTTATTTTTTGCTACGTAGCCACACGGAGGAATTTTACAGGGGATTTGTTAAGCTTTTTCTTATTTTTTTTAACTATTTCTCTAGTTGTCTCGTCCCCCTCAGCCTCAGTTCTGTTAGGAAGCCAGTTCTGAGAACAGAAGCAGACTTGGTCTTGGTCTTGATGGGGACGACAGAGGCAGCTGTAGTGTGTAATCTTGGTAGACATCAACAAAGCCTTTATCCTGCATTAAACTGTTGCTCAGCACCCTGTAATATTTGGTCAGTATGACTGCTCTAAATCTGATGAAGAATAGCAGTAATCCTTAAGTCTTGACTGCACACCAAAGATGACTGATGTCATTTCCCAAGGATCCAGAGTTCAGTCAGAGTTCAGCAGCATTTCTAGAAACACCAACACAAATAATGATATTGGGGGAAAAAAAACCCTAAAGCACATGTTAGTATTCAAGTAAAGCCAAATAAGTTTAATGAACAAACAAATATGATTCTGAATCATCCTTTAAAATTCCCAGTCTCATTCAGATCCCTTTTAAGCACTTATTTTATTTGATAAAAAGTTTAAGCGCAGTCCAAATACTGTGTACGCGTACTGTGTAATGTGTTCTGACTTTGCTCATGTGGCTTTGTTGTGTAATGACCGGTCAACATGTTTTCACTGACCTCGTAATGCTCTGAGCTCATCACGTTAACATCCAGACCCCTGCTGATGTGTTTTTCTCTGCTGTGGCTCCCACCGCCTCAGCCCGAGCTTGTTGTTTTTAAAGCCGTGTGGGGGCGGATGCACGTCACTGCAAAATCCCCCTAATATCGCTTCACAGAGGTAGACTCATAAACCAGTGAGGAGTGGGTTTAAAAGAATTAATTAGGAGCAGTGATTCATTTTACATTTCAGATTCCCAAATGACTGATGCTAAAAAAAACTGTTTACTGTTTCCGATGTATTGATGGCACTGCAGCATGTGCATAAAGGCAGATCGCAGGTTGTGGCATATAACCCTGAAAGAGGTAAAATGCTGGTAATACTGTAAGATCTAGAAAGTGCTGTTCCTGAAAAAGGTTCAACAAACTCTGAGCTGAGTTAGTTCAGTCAACCCCGAGTATGAGCTGAGCGTGCGTGATTCACTCTGGCAATGGATAAAAAAAGAGGGGAGTCTCCATTTTAATCCAGCCGACCAACATCAGTGGATGTCCATGTGGACTGTGATATTTATGTTATGTTATAATTTAATTAGACTGGACCTCTCTGTCATCAGTAAAACATATGACCCTTTTATATTGTCCATAATCACCATTTATCCAACTTCAGTGGGAATCATTAGACGGAGCCCGAATCCTAATTTTATATTTGACAGAAACTGAGAATAAAAATATGGAGAAACAGGTCAGATACAGTTTAGTTATGGACCTGAAATATACGTTAGAAGCTCTGTTCGACATCATTTAATAGCCATGTTTCAATGTGTGGACACTTTTTCATATGAAGTGCAGTCAGAATGCAGTTACACTGTCTGCAGCCTGCTGTGTGGTTATAAAAATGCAAGGTACAAAAAGAACTCCTGCTTAACTGGGATTTCAGTGTTTGTACAAAAGTAAACTTTTGCAAATGAATGTGCTTTGATACTTTATGGACAATGAGATAAAACCGAGTGTCAGTCAGCCGCTGCAACAGCAGCAGGATGGGAGGAGCCAGAGAGAAACAGTCTGTTACCCCGGTAACTGAACCAAAGTTTAACTTTGACGCTGAACTTTAGAAAAGAGAAACGGACCAAAATCTACAGCTGAATTAACACTAACAAAGACGGGAAAAATGGCAATGGAGAAAACTACAAGCACAGAACGCCACATTCAGAGCAACCTTCAAAATAAAACAGGAAACACATGGAAACGAGACAACAGCGGGGTCAGTGGCTCGTGTTTATTACTGTATCGAAATGTTCACGCAGATCCAGCTGCAGAACATTCGGGCTCGAGTCAGAGCAGACGCTGTGCTGGATTGCTCCGGGTCAGTGTGATACGACCGTATCAACACGCAAACAGAATGAAAATTTGTAGAGGAAGGGTTAAGGGGTCAGAATGACCATTTTTGGGAGAGGAATGCAGGAGTAATAGGAAAGGGATTCAAAACACAAAGGAAGAGGAAAACTAAGGAGCCATGGATAATTACATCTGCAGTGGGTACAATATATGTCCATTTTTTATTTTATATTTATTTTTCCTTTTTGTTATAGTTTTTATTATTGATCAACCATCAATATGTTGCAGTTTCTTGTGTTTCTTATTGTAGGTTTCCCCCCTCTTTTTTTCCAGAATTACCTTGAAAGAGGATAACGAAGGTTTTGAATTTGCTGTTCCACAAAACTGGAGCATGAAATGAATTGACGGCAGTCTGGGTAGACTTGGCAAATTACTGAAATCCTAGAAAGCCTGTATGAGGTGACTGAGAGGGAAAACGGGGGAGGAAGAAAAAAAATGAAGCCTTGTGTAAGGATTGAACTGCCCAGGGGAGGAAATACCCAGTTTAGTAAATGTGTGT